AACTCTAATTGACACAGTTTCCCATTGGCCCACATGTGAGCCAAGACATGCCTGGTGTCAGAGGTCTGTTTGTTTTAGAGCTACAGGGCTAATGTGGCTAACTCAGTAGGGGTGCAACAACACACGTGTTTTCAGGTTCAGTATGATTTTCGATACTGAGGCAGAGATTCGATTCAGTTTTAGATATTTTAAGATTAAGTTACCCTTATTAGTCCCACAATGGGGAAATTTCACCTCCACAATATAAACCATCAGTGAAACACCCACTAATATACTAGCGAAGACACACACTAGGGGGCAGTGAGCACACTTGCCCGGAGCGGTGGGCAGCCCTATCTGCAGCGCGGTTTGAGCAGTTGGGGGTTGGGTGCTTTGCTCAAGGGCACCTCAGTCACACACTGTCGGCTCAGAGGATCGAGGCTGGTTCCCTAACCTCCAGCCTACGACTTTGTGCGTTTAAAATGTCTTGATTACACACAACTGTAACTGGATACTACACAGGGCCCAGTTTTCCAAAAGCATCTCACTGGTTCTTTAAATTATCAATAGCAGAAGCTTTTTGGTACTATAGACGTTCTTTAAAGAACCATGTACAACATGTTTTCTGTTATAGAGCAGAGCCATTTAACCATTTCTGCATTCAAATCTTTCTTTAGGTTCTTTAGGTATATCACTGCTGTCGGAAGAAAACCTCGTATCTCCATTTTTGTCCATTTTTGTTGTTTTTAAGTTTTTGCAATAATTTAAAAATACCTGTTGCCCTTTACATTGTGTGTACATTTCATGATGAATGGACCAAAGGAATCGACCCAAAATGACTTGGAAAGACGTCTGGTTCCATTGGCTTACATTAAAAGTAAAGTATGTTTTTTCCTTCTCCTGTAAAGTTACCATTTTGAAGATACAAGGTTTTCTTCCGACAGCAGCGATATATACTTAATGTGTATGTATATACGTTATCAACAGTTCTATATAGAACTGTTATCTTTACCCTTGAAGAACTATATTTTCAGGATGGAGGATGTTAAATAAAAGTTCTCTAATAAAATTTTATTCATCAATGCGGTTCTTCAATAGAAATGTTTTCAATGCCTGCTGCTCTCTAACAAAATAACCCTCAAAAATTGCTTCAATTTATTTAACTCTTCAGAAAATATCACAGTCATTTAAGCGTGGGCGTGTGCATTACATAAGCCCTGCCCCCTTCCTGCCCACTTTACTGACAGAATGCACTCAGATGCCTAGTTTTGACAGTTAACAGGGTTTTCTGGGAAATATGGCACATATCAACAACAAGGTTTTACCTTTACATAGGCTGCTTTTCTTTTTTCCAGTACTGTATTTGAAATCGTTACACCATCACATCTCAGAAAGACTTCCTTCAGAAAATGTCGTATGCCAGACGTATCTTGGCCGATCGATTACTTTTAGAATCTGGGGAAAATTTCGTAAATATGACTTTTCTCATTCCTGTCTCGGCAGCACCTGATCTTGCACGAGGAGCGCAGCTGCATCTTGCGTCTCTCGCTGCAGAAACTGCGTTTCCTGGACGATCCCGAAGCCTACCTGCGCCGCTCCGTCCTCATCAACAACCTGCTGCGCAAGATCCACCTGGACGAGGATCAGCGCGAGCGAGAGAGGCAGAGGAATGAAGAGGAGGAAGAGAGTGGTCCGGCCTCACAGAGACTGTTCTACATGGGCCACAAGAGGCTGAAGGTGGTGGTGGCAGAATGCTGCTCGCAAACCTTCGGCCTCCAGGAGCTCCAGCCGTACAGCCTGCTGCAGTATGCCGCCTCCCCGGCCTCATGCCCCTGCGGCCTGGCAGGCTGCCCCGCACTGCCTCCTGACCAGGGACCTCCAATACTGCTCTACCGGCTCAGTGACAGCTGATGATGTCCCAGTCCGTTTAAGCATGAGGTGAACGTTTGAGCATGGGTTGACCGACAACCGGGTGAATGCTGAAGCATTCAGCTCGTACTTAAACGGACTGGGACATCATCAGTCGTCATTGAGCCGGTACAGCAGTATTGGTGGTCCGTGGTCAAGAGGCAGTTCGTTTAAGTTTCTTTAAGCGCAGCATTTGTAGCTGCCAGCCTGTGACTTAAAGCAAAAGCCAAGTTGTTGGTGGCACATTGTAGAGAAAAGAATGCGGGTTTTGGGCCCCAGCTTTAGAAAACAAGCTCAGAGTCGTGCCTGGGGTTGCACCTTCGGTGAATCAGGGTCTGCTTTCTTTTCTTACAGAAAAAAAAAAAACATGGACTACTTCACTCAAGCCTAACTGCCTCTATCGATCTTAAACGCAAGACCTTTAGGACTTTTATTTTGCTTTTTTTAAAAAAATGATATATCACCTATCTAAGCATTTTTTTTCAGGGATTGAAAAAAGAAAAATAAAGCCATGCACTTTGTGTCTATGTAAGTAAAAAAAAGTGTCAAGTGTTGCTTAACGATATGGAAAAGTGGCGGTTGTTTCGCTTTGTGAGCCACAAATTCCAAACAAAGATATTATTATATATGTGATACTGCTATGGCATATACTATGAGGGCTGTATGATGTGTGTGTCTGTGAGGATCAGCCTAAAAGCCTAATTTTTGATAAAACGGATTTCAAGGACTTTAGGAAGCGGCTGTTGTCAGTGAAACGGCTAATGGTACTCTGCTGCCCTCTAGTGTTGACATCCTGGATTGTCAGCAAGAGCAGTTTGAATTGAAGGCCGCCAGCTTCATGGGGTTTTTACCAATGTCGTCCATTCTGGTTCTGTTTTGTAGATTTGTCGCAAGGATGTATTTTTCCAGAAGTGGAAATCCAGCTGGATAGCTTTTGGGAAAACTAGATCTGGAAAGAAGTGGGTTGCCTTTTTTTTCCCTCCCATACCACTAAGACACAACTATTCAACTTATATGAGCAGCACCAGCTCTGGCTGTTCATTCTGTCTGTGTTTTCTCGGTCCTGTCACTCAGATACAGTCATCTGTAATCCAGTTTAACATGCTTACAAAGAAAATTGCTTATAAAAATGGCCTTTATTCACAGTTCTGTTTCTTTCTGTGCTGGTTAGTGGCACCACAAATGTAGATCAATTGAAAAAAGGCAACACATCCTTTTTACCTCTCAGAAAAACTGCAAATCTACAAATGTCAGATTAAAACTCAGCTACATTATTAAACAAGCTAAGCAATGGTACAAATGTAACTTACACTGATCAGGCATGACATTATGTCCACCTCCTTGTTTCTACGCTCAGTGTCCATTTTATCAGCTCCACTTACTGTATAGGTGCACTTTCTAGTTCTACAGTTACAGACTGTAGTCCATCTGTTTCTCTGATACTTTGTTAGCCCCCTTTTACCCTTTTCTTCAGGGGTCAGGACCCCCATGGACCCTTACGGAGCAGTTACTATTTGGGTTGTGGATCATTCTCAGCACTGCAGTAACACTGATGTGGTGGTGGTGGTGCGTTAGTGTGTGTTGCGCTGGTACGAGTGGATCAGACACAGCAGTGCTGCTGGAGTTTTTAAACACTGAGTCCACTCACTGTCCACTCTATTAGACACTCCTACCTTGTCAGTCCACCTTGTAGATGTAAAGTCAGAGACGATAGCTCATCTGCTGCTGCACAGTTTGTGTTGGTCATCCTCTAGTCCTTCATCAGTGGTCACAGGACGCTGCCCACAGGACGCTGTTGACTGGATATTTTTGGTTGGTGGACTATTCTCAGTCCAGCAGTGACACTGAGGTGTTTAAAAACTCCAGCAACACTGCTGTGTCTGATCCACTCAGACCAGCGCAACACACACTAACACACCACCACCACGTCAGTGTTACTGCAGTGCTGAGAATGATCCATCACCCAAATAGTACCTGCTCTGTGAGGGTCCATGGGGGTCCTGACCACTGAAGAACAGGGTAAAAGCGGACTAACAAAGTATCAGAGAAACAGATGGACTACAGTCTGTAACTGTAGAACTACAAAGTGCACCTATATAGTAAGTGGAGCTGATAAAATGGTCAATGAGCGTAGAAACAAGGAGGTGGACATAATGTTATACCTGATCGATGTATATTTTAATATGCCATACAGCGTGTCAACTACTATCTTTTAATAAATTCTTTTTGTATCGATGTACAGTTGGATGGTGACGTTGGTCTTGTTTCAGTTTCAGTATCTGAATGTGTGCAACTGACCACTGAATAGAAAACACTATCTTTTGGAAATGGAAACACAAACAGGAACATATGATTTATTTTCAATGTTTTTCTCTTTATTTTTTATGAAAATATCCATGCGCTACTCAGAAGTTAACCATATTTTGCCAAAAAAAAGTTAAAAGTAGCAGCAGAGATCTGTCTATTTTTCAGGTATTGCAATCAAATAAAAATACAAGTTAACGATTCATTGTTTATCTGTCTCTTTATTTATTTATTATTATAGGTTCCTCATTTTCCATTAGTAGATGTTTAATATTTATCTGTGTACACACAGGATACATCTTTTTAAATATATGTTGTATATACTATCTTTTTCAACAAACATGCCCTCTTTAGAAAGATGCTTCTTCAAGTACTCTGGTAAAAACACTGGTTATGATGTCAAGCTTATAACAGTAGAATAACCCTTTTTGCCTCTATATAGAACCATATACAACACATTCTCCATCAATCTGAAGAACATTTCACCATGCAAGGAACCATTTAAGCATGCAAATGGTTCTTTGAGTGTTCATTGGTTTATGTAGAACCAGTGTCTTTAACAAAGAACCCTAGAAGAACCATCTTATTATATATTTTTAATGTTAGTGGAATATATTTTTAATGTTTATTTATTTTTTGTATACGTTTTTCTATGAACACACCGCAGTATATATTGATTTATGTCTTTGTTTATTTGCTGCTGTGATCAGCTCACTCTGCGCGTTCACCGCAGCACAGCACTTTCCCCCAGTCCCGCGAACGCGCACGCGTGCGCGCTCTACGCTTCCTGACGTGCGCATCCCCGAGCCTTTCTGTCAGTTGAGCGGTTGACGTTGCTCTCTGAGGCAGCAGCACGTTTAACGGCTTTTAACTCAAGACGTGGCAGATTTTTGGCACATTTTTCATCTTTTTTCAACTTAAAACTGATAAAGAACTACTTCTTCGCGCACTTTTCTGCCGTGGAATGAGCCGCGCTCTGTTTATTTATCTCTCTCGCTGTAGCGGACTAGCACAGCCGGCTAGCTAAACAGGCTAACGAGACTAGCCGGTCACTGTATTTGGCTTAATATTCTTTCCGTTCGTGGAAAAAAGAAAAGTTTCCACAGGAAAAATGAAAGCGGGATTATCTCAGCTGCTGTTGGACCTGCAGGACCCGCATCTCGTGGCCCGTTTCCAGCAGTTCTGCGGGGTTAGCGGGACGTTCACGAGGAGCGAAGCCGAGGTGAACGGCGGGAGCGGCGTGGAGAGAGCTGGCTGTGTCCGGCAGAGAGCAGCCCTCTCGAGCGGAGAGGAGAAGAAGGAGGCGAAAGGGGACCGCTGTAACAACAACGGCGTGGCCAACGGGACGCCGGCGCTGTCCGCCGCCTCCGCCGCCGCCGGGGAAACCGTGACCACCGTGAAGCCGCTGCGCAGGAACTCTTTGACCGGCGACGTAGGCCACGAGTTCCACATCGGCAACCGGCTCCTGTACTACCTTTTCACCTGCGGCACCGAGCTGGGCAACGAGCTCTTCTACATCAGCTTCTTCCCCTTCCTCGTGTGGAACGTGGACGCGCTGGTGGCGCGCCGCCTCATCGTGGTCTGGGTCTGGGTCATGTACCTGGGCCAGTGCACCAAGGACGTGATCCGCTGGCCGCGGCCAGCCTCGCCGCCGGTGGTCAAAGTGGAGGTTTTCTACAACTCGGAGTACAGCATGCCGTCCACGCACGCCATGTCCGGGACCGCCGTGCCTCTGGCGCTGCTTCTGCTCACCCACGACCGCTGGGAGGTGAGAGTTTGTTTGTGGGAGGTGGAGGAGCGGTGCTTAGCCCTGGTCCTCCTGCTCCTGGAGACCCTCCACACTACTTTCTACTCTAATACACCCGCTTTGCCTTGTTGAGGGGCTTGGGAATGAGCTGAGAGGTGGAATCCGGTGCCCCCTGTTCAGTTCGCTTTCTGCTTTCTCTATACTTCACTTTTTTAGTCTTTTCAGCCCTAACACCAGTTTTTACACTCATGGGGGGCTTGGGAATGAGCTGATGGGTGGGTTTAGGGGTGGGCAATGTGGCAAAAAGAAATATCACAATACTTCAGAAAGTTTTTTATGATGCACAATGTGTCTAAACTATGAATCCAGTCATTTATATTCAGTATTTCACTCACTGTGCAGCACCGAATCCAGTTAAACAGGACTAACTATGCACTCTTTTTAATGAAACAGCAGTTGGGACCTGATTTTGTAAGTACTGACCACATCATCAATATGTTCGAAAAGCTTACTGTGACATTCTGTGATGTTACTTATCACGATAACGACAAATGTAGTCATATTGCCCAACTGTAGGTGGGATAAGGTGTGTAAAGTTTTAGTTCTGGGCTGGGGGGGTGAAATCAGGTGAGTCTGACTGTGTTCAATTAAGGTTTATTTGTATAGAGTTATTTATGCCCTTATTTGGTATTATTATGCAAACTTATTCATTAACAAAGTATGTTTAGCAGTGTTTACTGATATGCGGGTGCATTCCCTTAAAGAGGAAGAAACCCTGAGAGGAACCAAGTCTCAAAAGGGGAACCCACCCTGCCCTCTGGGCTGCACAGCATGGTGAAGTTTGGATACAGGCAGGTCACGTTTGTAAGGAAGTTGTAACGGAGGCACTTGGGTCATGTGGAGGAAAGTTTGCGATGATAAAAGAATGACAGTCGGTAAAAGGTTGTGGAAGAGCTGGGCGACACTTGAGTATCCTGAGGTTCAGGAGTGCCAGAGACCAGCACAGTTTGGTGTGGCTTCCCTGCAGGGCTGGGCAAAATGGCCAAAAATGTTATCACGATAAAAAATTGTTGTATCAGTTGATATCGATGCATATAAATGTCAGAACGTCATTTCTTTCAAGTATCCTTTATAGTCAGAACATGACAGACACTCGCCAAACAGTGGAACATTTCACAAATCTGTCATGGGACAGTGGGAGAAAGTTTCTGGTCGGCTGTTTTTACCAGCTGGAAATGCAATTTTTGTAATATTCATAATTTAAGAAAGAAAGAGGATTATTTTAGCTGTCTGTTGACGAGTGCTAAACTGTTCAGTTTCTCAACAACATCAGCTTAGTACGAACAGCAAACATTACCTGGCTCAGTAGGTCGGTAGCCACGTTTAACATTCACCCTAATAATCGGTTAATAATCTGACTAATAGCTCAACTGGAATAGAACACGTCCATGTATACACTTCAGTCGGAATGGACTAGTCCGATTGAGGCCATTCAGTATACAATTTCTATCCGACTGATCGAGGTGGGTAATCCTGTAAATAATCTGTTAAATAGAAGAATAATATCTGTGTAAACGCCTGTATCTGATTACATTCCCAATTGGAAAGTTTAAGTCCGTAATGATCATGTTCGTCACGTCATAGTGAAAGTTTATACCGTTCAATATGGCGGTGCAGAAACTGGTCTGCAGAGGAGACGAAGTTTATGCTCTGATCTGTAAAAGACAGCGGTGGGACGGACGTCCAGCTTATGTGTCTCAGAACACGACGTCTTCCTCTCGGCCTTGTGAACATGTGAAGGACGTTTCCTGAGTCTGACGTCATTTTAAAGTAATTAAAAACACAAGCTCACCAACACTGGACTCGCGTGGTGTTCGCTGTCATGGTAACGTTTCTCCACACATGAGCGTCATTTTGGATCAGATTACTTGTAGCCTTACTGCTGTCACTCCTACCACATCCATGTCAGAGCATATCACAGTATTCAGACACCGGCTAGCAGAAGTCTGGGTTTCTCTATTCTATCGTAGGAGTTTGAGGGATTGAAGAACTGCAGTATATCTGACGCTCACTGTAAAAGCATTAGCTGCAGTGTGAATCTCACACCAGACAAACAGAGTCCTCCTTTTAGGTACGTTTAAACTGAAATCAGTGCTTTTTTGTCTTCTTTGATCTACAGTATCATCAGTTCGCCGTGCTGTGACAGAGTGCTGCTTCAACTTAGCCAGCTGCTAAAAAACAGCTAGCCTGGGAAGCAAGCGTCTCCCACTCCGATGCCTCACAAACAGCATCCTCAGTTTGCTTTCGTTTAACCTTTTAAACTCCTTGAGACCACCGGTGGTTCCAAAATGCACTTCGTCATATTCTTCATAACTTTCATATTTCATAAGCTACGGCCAAAAGGTGGGGGTCGTATGAGAGCTGTAACTGTCTTCTTTCCAGTCAAATAGATGGGTAAAGTAATTTGAACCCTTATAATAGAAGAAGCTGAACTCACAATTTTTTTGTCTACTGAAAGTCGACTCATTTTTCCACAAATCTGGGCTATAAACTATAAACAGATGGCGTCTCTTCAGTGATCTGCTCTGTACAAATTATTTTTATAAAATAATACAAAGAGCGTCTAAGATTTTTGGCTGTCAGCAGTAAATTGTAAGCATATAGCAATATGTGTGATCGTAAAACACATGTTCTGTTAATTTGAGGGGAGCTTTTAAAACATAAATAAAATAAAAATTTACATTTATTTCATGCAGTTACTGAATAATTTGTCTTACGATTTGGTCATGGAAATTCAGATGGAAAAACCAAAATATATCCTGGTCAATAAGAGGTTAAATCAGTGCTCTCTCTTTTACTTTTGTTGTGTGAGAATGCACTAACGCTAAAATATGACTGTAACAGTGCTGTAGTTGTGAGGAGCAGACGTGATTTGACGCTGCTAAAGCTTGTTAGGTTGTACAGAAAGAGGCGAGTTCACTCAAAGCCAGAACAGATAGAGGAGGAGAACAGATCGCCGGTCGCTCCACTCAGACAGGGAATATATAACTCCACGTTTCAGACATTGCTCATGACTCATTTCACTCCTTGAGCACCTCCCTCTCAAATCATGTCGAAAAACTCGGGGGTGCGCCCTCTTGTGGTGACAGCAGGGCAGTGTCGCTTTCCTTGCAGTATAAAACACTACCAGGGCTGTTGCTAGAACGTGGGAGAATGGACGTGGGAGAATGGTCTATTATATCGATCATTTATCGAACATTTCTTATGTTTCTATCAAGGAAAGTTATATTGCGATAATTGTTGTTATCGTTTTATTGCCCAGCCCTACTTCTCTGCTTTTACACTCATCAGTTTGTAACCAGGTTTAGTCTGCGTGTTGGACTTAATGCTGGACTCCGGCCCAAATTAGGCAGCTCTGTTATGTGGAGTGTACTCTAGGACTGTCTCACTCTCACGAGCTGGAGTTTTAGATGGATATCTTTCGTCACATTTGTCGTTCGGCTGATGTAAGTCATCTTCCTGAATATTCTAGCACTCATCCTGTCGTGTGACACTTAACTGACAGAATGTCGTGGGGTATTCTAGGATGTTTTAATTTAATTGCATAGAAGTGTTTTATTTAGGAACCTTTTTGTAAGCCATTTTTGATTGACTGCCACCACTGGCATAATGTTCATTTTCCAGATTTTCTGTGTTATATTAGCACCAAGCTAAAAATAGAGTGCTTTTGAACAGGGAACGTAGCAAACTGGACGTAACTTTGACTTGTATTTATAAATAAATCCACATGGAACAGTTTTACTTACACTGATTTGAACATAGTTCTGTCTGACACCAGAGATAAAATGTTTGGATATTCAGAAATACACCCTTCAGCTTTATGAATACAGTGTGTAAAAGGAGCAGGAACACCTTCTAGGCCCTCAAATAACCCCTCCTGTGAAAAGTTAACCACAGCTCAGGGCAAAGCCATCCTTAAAAGTTATAAAAATGGTTCAGAAATGTAAAATGGGAGTAAAGATCCCCTTATTATGAATTTTATTCAATATATTTGATACATGAAGTGTAAAATAATCCTCATAAAGCTGAAAAAAACCCCTGAAAACAAAATCTAAAGGGCAAAAACTGCACTTTAGTAAAAATCTTATATTTTAACACTGCTCTACATGTAGATCTGTTGCAAAACAGATTAAATTCTGTGTAGAGCCATGAGTGACCGAGAGGAAGCAAAGTGATTTTAGGCCCTGACAAAGCAAAACTGTCCTGTGTAAATGAATAAATGAGCGCATCAACCAAATAGGGAAGGATATATCTCCCAAACTCCGTTTGTTTAGCTCGTCTCAGTCTTGCACATTGAAATGAAGGCCAGGCGTAATGTGTACCGTCAGCAAGTGACTTCTCAAGGTTAGAAGTTGTTACGCTTTTTATCTCAACTAAGATAACATTTACAGTCTTAACTGTGTAGCGGATCAGGCAAGGTCATGTTTGTATACTGCACAGACTCGAGAAAGGAGGATTATTAACAATCACAACTTTTGTCTCCTCAGCGGATTAATCATAATCAGGTGACTGTATGCTAGAGGTGGGCGATATGGCAGAAATATAACATTGCGATACTTCAAGTCAAATCAAATCGTGGTTATTGTCACATCACATTTACACCACTGCGAAGGTGAGTGAAGATCTTAGGTGCATAGCCCCCTTGTAGAACTTAAATACAAAAAATATATATAAGAAAAAAGAAATATATGAACACCGACTCTAAATATATACACATACGCAATATACAGTAGTATTGCACTCCAATGTACAGTTGTACAGTAAAATAAAACTTTGATATGTACTGTTGTACACATTTCCGTTAGTAAGTTTGAGGTAGATAATAAATGAGATGCAGGTACACAGGGGATAGAATATTGATATAGAAATCTTCCAGATTATACAAGGTGTGGATAGAAGATCTATATGTTTAAGTATAGATTTGCTAGATTGAAGGTGCAGTAAGATCAGAGTGAGTCTGT